AGGTATCTCTTGTTGTAGAACATAGTGATGAATTATTGTGTTGCTTGTTACCAATCTTTAGTCATTTGTATATAGAAAAAAAATATATACTTTACCTTTTGTCTGACCATTTTAATCCACCATTGACCACATGGTGTGAATGAGTTGAGGCCTAGTTTCATTGTTTGCTACCATTTGCATAGGAAAAGACTTTTCACTAAACTAGTTCACCAGGTTTTATTGCTAAATTTGACCCTGTTTGTGTACTAATTTACATTTGTTTGGCATTCATGGATTTGTCTAGTTGAAAAAGAGATTTTGACAAAATTTATTAAATTAGTAGTTAAGAAAAAGATACGTTTAGTAAAGCAGATTCAGTGAATAATAGATTTATGTGTGCGTATACACAGAATATTAGTATAAATATATATGATTTTGACTCATGAAGGAGAGACCACCTTTTTAACAGCTGTGTGACCATGCTTTTCAGCTACAGCTGGGGGAGAATTTGTCCTTGTTGGGGGTGGGTAGTCTTGCCTGTATGAGAAAAAATAAACTACATTGTTTTGTAAATGTAATTGCCTAAACTAATCCATTTGTGGAGTGTTTTTCAGCTTTATTATCCAGGACTAAGGAATTACTGGACATATGCAGGAACTGGTAACAAATGAACTGAAAAAATGGTAAAATAATTCCTTTGTCCTATTTAGTTTGAATATTTTAACAAGTTAGCATTTTTAACAAAGTAAGTGTAAGGGCTCAGATTAAGATTTATATTATTTTAGAAGCCATCTATAACTGATTTTAATATTTCCATGCTTTGAATTAGGGTGTATCTGCCTAGCGGGTGAACCTCCATAACGTGGGCTGTGATTTTAGTTACAGTAGCGGGTGGGGAACCTGAGCTAGGGGGTATTTAAACGTGTCCGGATAAGGGGGAGCATACCCAATAGTTGTTGTGCAGTTCTATCCTGTATTTGAAACCCTGTATTACTTATAAGTAGCGTTTTGTAACTTATTTGTAATTGTTTATGTATATATTGCTCTGGGAAAGGGATAGGCAAAATCTCTGAGAGACCAGGAAATATATTTAAAAAAAAGGGCGTATTACACTAGTGGTAGGGTGGCCTATCATGACCATAGAGACCCTTGGTGACTAGTTTTTGTTGTATATTGCCCTGGGAAGGGGATACGCTATTTAATAGAAATTCCTGAGAGACCAGGAAATATACAATAAGTGATACGTGAGTGTACTGGTTAAATTGCAGACATATTGGCCCAGAACCTTTAATCGAGCCGGAAAAGAGGCTGCTGTATGTTTGCTCCTCTATAATTTTGCGGGGGCGGTCACCCCCATGCGGAAAGCCACTGCCATCACAGGGTGGTTAGTTGTGCAGGCCCTTAGCCGCGAGGTGCAAGCATGTCCGTGGAAAGGCTAGAAATTAATAGGGAGTCACTCATAGCTGTCAGAAGTGTTGAACTTTGAGACATATTGACCTATATCCTTTCAGAGGCGGAAGAGGTGTTGTGGTTCACTCCTCTATAATTTAACCAAAGGGTGGAAAGTTATTAAACATGTTTAAGTTGGCTAGAAATTTGTTACTCGTAAGTCCATTTGAAATCCTGTATTGCTTTAAAGTTTGTGTCAGTTTTATATTGCCCTGGGAAGGGGATTAGCTATTGTATATCCCTGAGAGACCAGGAAATATAAAATAAGTAATACGTGGGTGTATTGTGTATCTGCCTAGCGGGTGAACTGCCATAACGTGGGCTGTAAACTTAGTTACAGTAGCGGGTGGGGAACTTAGGCTAGGGGGTACTGAGCATATCTGCCTAGCGGGTGAACTGCCATAACGTGGGCTGTAAACTTAGTTACAGTAGCGGGTGGGGAACTTAGGCTAGGGGGTACTGAGCATATCTGCCTAGCGGGTGAACTGCCATAACGTGGGCTGTAAACTTAGTTACAGTAGCGGGTGGGGAACTTAGGCTAGGGGGTACTGAGCATATCTGCCTAGCGGGTGAACTGCCATAACGTGAGCTGTAAACTTAGTTACAGTAGCGGGTGGGGAATTTAGGCTAGGGGGTACTGAGTATTGAACTTTTAGTGTTGTGTACTCCTGAATTGCAAGGAAGATGCAGAAAGCAGCTATTAGCTGATTGTTTATTTTAAGAGCCAAGTAGAAAATTAAGAAAGTTACCTTGTTGAACAAATTGTTTATAAAATGAAAAGCTGAAGGAATGTGTTTACATGTCTGTGTGTGTGTATGTATGTGTATATATATATATATGTATGTATGTATGTATGTATGTATGTATGTGTGTGTGTGTGTGTATATATATATATATATATATATATATATATATACTAAGTAAAATATTTGCAGTATACGCTAAAAGTGACTAGGAAAGTAATCCTGATCTGTTTCCTAACCTTTTCAGATGTAGCAGAAACCAGAGGTGGACATTGGAACACAGATAGAATATCAGATGGAGACCAGTCTTTAAATGTTGACCTTTGATGAGCTATTGAATGTTTTATTTTATTGTCTATTTAACATGTCTATGCTATGATTTTGTGCATACTGTTCTCTTATTTCTAGTGATTGTATTGCAATTGAAACCCTTATGTATTATTGTTGTATGTATGTATGTATGCTTGCCTGGGAAAGGGGGGAATTGACCCATAGGGACCAGGGGGTATTTTTGTGTAAACCAAACTGGGGTGGGAGGGCTCTAACGAGGGAACCCCATTGTCCAGTAGGTGCTTGATTTGTGTCTGTGTAAAGTGCATGAGTGGTTGCAGTTCAAAAAACAAAACAAAAAAAAATAAGAGGGATAAGAGAAAGTAGGCATTTTGGGTTATCTATACATGTTTAAATAGAAGGGTGGTAAATAGGAATGTAATTGTTTTGGTTAATGTTTAAATTAAATTGGTTAAATACGGCAGTGATAACGAGTGTTTAGATTAAATTGGTAAATGCAGCAGTAATAACGATTGTTTGGGTTAAATTGGTAGATACAGCAGTGATATTGTGTTTATCTGTGAATCAGGAGTGTGCTGGATGTGAAGAGAGGTGTGTAGGTATTTATCCAAATGCCATAGGAAAAAATATGGTTAAGACACCACAATCAAATGGTACTTGTGATGATTGGCACAGTTATTATTTATGTTTGTGTTCGTCATTGCCTGTGTTTTCATTCAAGAACTTTCAAGCAGAAGAAGAAGAAGCACTGGACACTATGCTCAACTGTCGCTGTAAGGAGAAAAAATATTGCAGCTAAGAGGGGTGAGAGTCGGAACAAATGCATCAGGAGCAGGACACTGTTACGTCAAGGTGGTTAATGGTATAAAGAAAGAAAAAACAAAACAATGTGACCACAAACACACAAAAGTCCTTGATCACATGAACTGTTTCATTCATCCCTGTCTCCATGCGTATGTTCTATGAGACTGTCGAAGAATAGAGTATCCAGTTTCCAGGACTAATGTTTGTGAAAATTCCAGGCACACAGACCAGCCAGAGGCTACAGAAATCGTGTCGGTCTGTGCCATGATTCATAGGTGTTATGAGTTTGTGGTGTCTAATACTATATTAAGCTCCAAAACACATCCTCACATGAACACAATATCATTGGTTAATCTAATAAAACATGGTTTGAGTTGTCTATTATTACAAGGGTGGGTATTTGCCTATTTAAGGCCAAGGTTTCCCAACTGCTAATGCATGTGCTCAGTGGTTATTATAAGGGTGGGTATGTGCTTATTTTAGGCCAAGGTTTCCCAACTGGTGATGCATGTGCTCAATGAAAAAAAAAAAAAATTGAATAAGCAATAAAGTGTCATAACTTTACGGGTAAATGGGTATCATTCTTCAAAAGGTGGGTTTTGTTGTAGGGCAGGTACTGTTAAAATAGGGTAGATTCAAGATGTACGGGTTTATAATGTTTGTTTTATGACATAAGTCAAAGGGTGGTTTGTAATGGTATTTATTAATTAATGACTTTTTGTCATAAAAAAGCATAATGAGCTTAATGCTTTAGAGGTACCACTAGGGGTCAGTGTGCTAACTCATGTGCTTCTGGCAGTGACATCACAGGCCAGCCTACTTACTGGATAAAACCAAATAGTGGAAGGATTTTGATTGAACATGTAGCTGTGTGTATAGCTCCAGCCAAACAGGCTGGAGCCGTGTAAGTAATCTATTATAACAGCTAGCAACTGTTATAGCCTTTTGTAAGTAATGTTGTAGTTTTGTATTGTGTAATTATTGTGGTAAATTGACATTCTGCTAGCATTTGTTTAATTGTTATTATAATTATATTAAATATACATTTAATACTACAATGTTTTGTGTATTTCCTATTATATATTCGACCATAATACCGAACTCTATTAATGTTATTTGTTGCTTAATTATTATATATTAATTATTAAATTTAATATTCATATTTAAGTCACGACTATAACATGCCTCCACACTAGAATTTTAAAACACATTAGGAATATAAAAAAAGGTGTGGAGACACATAGTGTCTCCCAGCATTTTAAAATACCTCATAATCAAAACCCCCAGGGCTTTTTCTTTTGCGCACTTAAGGTGGTAAAAAAATGATTGGAGGGGAGGAGATTATAATAAAAAATTGGTATTGAAGAAATTAAATGTATTTTTAATTTTAACACCCTCGTTCCTTATGGTTTTAACTTAGATTTCGAATTGTGTCATTTTTTTAACTTAAAATATTTTTTACCTGAATAATTCTATTAACCACTATTAACCACATAAGATCAGATAAACACTTTTTTTTTATAAACACTTTTTTTAAAAGTTCTCGCCTCCATTTCTTTATATAGGTGATAGCTAATATAGTACCTGATATGGAAATAGGAGTATTGGGGTACCCATTTTTTTAAAATGCCTTTAGTTTGTATGTTTTTAGAATTGGTTACTATTATTGGTTTTTGTGATATCACACACATATGTTTATATTTGTGTTTCTTTTTCCTTCTCAATTTACAAAATATGGACTGTGGACTTTCTAATGAGATGTGTAACACATATGCGTTCCACACACAGCACCTATTTGCTCAAAAGACACTGGCAGACGAGACGCCATGCAAACCCCCAGTGGAACGCAAGGTGCGTTCCACAGAAGAAGGAAGCACGGCAAGCAGTGGAACACATATTGCATTCCACAAGGAAAAGAGGATGGACAAGGCTCAGCATGTGTTCCAGGAGACAGAACGTGCACCTTATAGGACGTGGAAGGACGCATAACGTAGCGTGCGTTCCAGGAGATGGGACGTACGTTTCAAAGAACACAAAAGGACATTCTGAGAACGCCCAGATGCCGGCAATTTTATAATTTATTCTAGTTATAAAAGCCTGGATGATCAGAGACTGAATATTCTCCAACTGAAGAAGCCAGTGTATGGTGAAACGCGTTTTGGATCAATAGAACTTCTGAAAGTATTTGATTTATATTGGATTTTATTCACATATTTGTTTATAACTTTTACTCTATTTGTTGGTTTACACTAATAAATATGGAATACCTAAAAATTCTATGGGACTCTGCTTCATCTATGCAAGATTGACAGACTTCCTCGAATCTAACTTTGTGCTTGACCCGCTTCAATCTGGACTCTGTTGAAACAGCTGTGACCAAAGTATCCAACGATTTAATCGCTGCTAAATCTTGCAGCCATTACTCTATCCTATTTCTCCTTGATCTTTCTGCCGCCTTTGACACGGTTGATCATCAACAGCTTCTTCTCATTCTCCGTAATCTCGGTCTACGAGATACTGCTCTCTCCTGGTGATCCTCCTACCTCTCCCAGCACTTTTTCAGTGTTTCTTTCTCTTGCTATGCCTCTTCTCCCCAACCACTCTCTGTTGGCCTTCCCCAAGGTTCTGTCCTCGGTCCCCTACGGTTTTCCATCTATACTGCCTCCCTTGGTAAATTCATCAGCTCCTTTGGCTTCCATTATCATTTGTATGCAGATGACACACAAATGTACCTGATCTCTCTCTGCCCATCTTGACTCGTGTCTCTGACTGCCTCTCCACGATTTCCAACTGGATGGCTGCTCACTTCCTTAAACTCAACCTGTCCAAAACAGAACTTCTGGTATTTCCTCCCTCAAGTGTTCCCTCCAAGTCAACGGCACCACCATCACCTCTACCTCGCAGGCTCACTGCCTAGGTGTTTCTTTGACTCCGACCTCTCCTTCACTCCTCACGTCCAGTCGATCACCAAATCATCCGACCCTATTTAACACTATTAACACTAACACAATTTAAGATTCTGGTGTTTGCTTACAAGTCCCTACATAATGCTGCTCCAACCTACCTATCCTCCCTAATACACAAGTATGTCCCGTTAAGGCCCTTGCGCTCTGCCGAAGACCTACGTCTATCGTCTGTCCGTACTCCCACATCTGATGCTAGCTCCCAAGACTTCTCCACCATTTATGTGGAACTCCCTTCCCTTCTCCATTAGACTTTCACCCAGTCTCCACTCCTTCAAAAAAATCTTTGAAAACACACTTCTTCAGGAAAGTATATCATTTAAACGGTTAGCAGGTTTTCATTCCCCCCCATGACTTCTCTCCTGCAAATGTAAAAAATAACCTAAGTTCTCAGTGAATACTTTTCTAGCAACCTATTTCATTACTCCTACTTATACCCTTTGTGTCACTATACCCCACTCCCTCTAGCATGTAAGCTCATTGAGCAGGGCCCTCTGTTCTGTGCATTCATTTGTCTGGTTACAATTACGTGTCTGTTAGTCCACCCATTGTACAGAGCTATGGAATTTGCTGGCGTAATATAAATAATAATGAAAACTCTCTGAGCTTCAATTTCAAAATAAGAGGGCTGTGGATCTCACTAAAGGATCCAAATGAGTTATACACTAGAGCCAGGTGACTTTTTGGCTCTATCCTTGTGAGTATTTACTTTCTTATCTGGGCATTTTAATATCAAATGTTAGAAACTATTTGCACTATTACTGTGTATCTGATTATATTATAGATCCTCATCTATTCATCACCATTAAGATCTCTACCTACTATTTGACTATCATTGTCAAGGTATACTAGCTCCACTTATTTTGTGTTTGTATAGACTTCTATATTGTGGTGGTGAATTAAGGGAATCCCCCACTAAGTGTTGAGCTTTTTCCTTTCCACTGTCAAGTATACAGAAAGTCTTTGATATACTGAAATGGTATCAGCGTAAACACAATATCTCATGGTATGTTTGATCATACACTCCTACCAAAAAAAGTCTTAAAGTTCTCAAGTAAAGTATCAAGATGAAAATTCATTAAATATAAAACCTGGTATAGAACAGTCTGCAAATCAGTCAGCAGTGAAAGTTAAGTTGAATATGAAACTCTGAGGAAAAAAATCTGCATTTTGACCCATCATGGCGAATCTTTCAGTGACCAAGGTCTGTTCATGCCTGTTGTATATACACTATAGATGAGTGATATAGTTTACATGTGTTATTTATTAATTATCATTAATTTGCACTTAAGGAATATATACAATGTGGACATGTGATGTTAGCTTGACAAAGACCTCATAGCAAGTCGGTTCTGACACTTTCTTGATCTATTAAACCTGCCTACGGTTTGAACACCCTGAGTGCCTTGAGACTCCTTTTTGATTGCCTTGCTGTTGTGGAATTTGCTGGTCCTGCTCCAGTGCACTGGGTTTCAACTGGAATTTAGTGTGGCTCCTTCCTTCATTTTTACAACTGCATTGAGGACCAAGACAAACATTTTAGTGTGAGGAATACAAAGATGTATATTTAACACTAATGTGTTCCTCTGCCTCCACACTCTCCCCCCTTCCCCAGTGATATAAAGGGTTAAATAATCCTGTATTCACTTACCTGATTCCAGCACCGAGGTACCTCAGCAATGGGTCACGGTCCGCTTCCTCCAATGTCATGTGATGGACGGACCTAATACACAATACACATGTGTGCATTAGGCTTTTCTCATAGGAAAGCATTGTCTGAATGAGGTTTTCTCTGACACCGGACATCCTCATGAAGAACGTTACTTAGTTAAAACTTCGTTAAACTCCAGAAAGTGCCTCTAGTGGCTGACTGCTACAGTCAGGGGCGGACTGAGCACTCGGGCAAATCGGTCATGGACCGAGGGCCCGAGGCTCTGGGGGGCCCGCCCCTGCTGCAGTGCAGTAATGGCTGAGCTGGGGAGTAAAACAATCTCCCCAGCCAGCCTGCACTCAGTAAGGGGCCCGCACAGCCTTCCGCGGGCCCCTGCTGCTAAAAATATAATCCCCCTTGCAGGGCACACTGAGGGACAGCTAAGGGGCCTTCCAAAGACCCCACTAGGCTGCCCTCAGTGTGCCTGTCTCACTGAACACAGCCTCACTGAGCTGCCTGTAACTGCTCAGGGCAGCTCCGTGCAGCTTGTTCTGCAGGAAGTGACATCAGCAGTCACAGTGCAGAGTGAGGAGCTGCCCTGAGCAGAGTTACAGGCAGCATGTCAGCATTGTGTGCCCTCCTTCAGAAGAGGACCACCAGAGAGGTAAGGTTTGGGAGGGGGGCTTTATTATTTTTTTTAAATTAAAATGTTTTATTATATAATTTCCCCCACTACTGCCCCATCAGAGCCCATACCCCCCTTACTCCCAGTGCATCCCCTACCTCCCTGCTCCCACTGCATCCCCTACCCCCTCCCACTGCAACCCCTACCCCCCACTACATCTTCTACCCCCCACTGCATCTCCTACCCCCCCCTGCATCCCCTACCCCCAATGCATCCCCCTACCCCTTGCTCCCACTGCATCCCCTACCCTCCCACTGCATCCTCCTCCCACTGCAACCCCTACCCCCACTGCAACCCCTACCCCCACTGCATCTCCTACCCCCTGCATCCCCTACCCCAATGCATCCCTACCCCTTGCTCCCACTGCATCCCCTGCACCTTGCTCCCACTGCATCCCCTCCCACCTCCCACTGCATCCTCCCTAGCCCCTCCCACTGCATCCCACCCCCTGCTCCCAGTGCATCCTCCCACTGCATCCCCTACCTCCCACTGCATCCCTGCCCCCACTGCATCCCCTGCCCCCACTGCATCCCCTACCCCCGCCTCCCACTGCACCTCCCCACGCCTCGCCTCCCAGTGCGCGCCCCTGCACTCCCCTGCTCCCAGTGCACCTGCACTCTGCTCCCACTGCATCCCTACCCCCACTGCATCCCCTACCCCCCTGCTCCTAGTGCATCCCCTACCCCCCTGCTCCTAGTGCAGCTTTTACCTGCTGCTCCCACTGCAGCTCCTACCCCCTGCACTGTGCGCAATAGTAGGGTTTCGCTTTTGGTAGTGGCTAGTGGGCTACCCAACTGCTCCCACTGCATCTCCTATTACCCTTTGCACCCACTACAGTCTGTCCCTCCTCTGCACCTACTACAGCCTCTAATCCACCCTATTCCCCCATATCCTCTACAGTCCCTCCCCTGCAGCCCCTTCCACTCGCACCCTTTACAGCCCCTTCCTTTCGGCACCCTCTGCAGTCCCTACCCCTTTGCACGCACAAACATAAAGGGACACTATAGTTACCAGAACAACTACAGCTTAATTTATATTATACAGCTTAATGTATAGTAACAGCTTAATGTTTATTATATAGCTTAATGTAGTTGTTCTGGTGAGGATAGTATACTACTGCAGGGTTTTTGCTGTAAAGACTGCCTTTTCAGAGAAAATGCAGTGTTTACATTGCTTCCTAGGAACACCTAGGCGCTTCCTGTGTCAGTATTGCAAAATGTGCAGCACTGACATTCAGCATTTCCATGATCTGCATGTCGACGCTGAATGCTTGTCATAGAGAAGCACTGATTCAATGCATCTCTATGATGGTGATTGGCACAGCGTTTTGCTGCGCGTGCACAATAGCCTTCTAGTGCTTTCCTATGGTAGAGCATTGGGTTGGCTGAGATCATCTAAATTGATGAACTCTGCCAAGGAGTTTGGTCGGTGCTGGGAAACAGGTGAGTAAATCGCATTTTTAAGGGGGGAATACACATTTGTATTCCTGACACTATAGTGTTCCTTTAAAGGGACACTCCAGGCACCCAGACCACTTCTGCCCATTGGAGTGGTCTGGGTGCCAACTCCCACTACCCTTAACCCTGCAAGTGTAGTCATTGCAGTTTTTTTAAACTGCAATAATTACCTTGCAGGGTTAACTCTTCCTCTAGTGGCTGTATACTAGACAACCACCAGAGGGCACTTCCTG